CAGAGATAGCAAATATGATGAAAATTGAATGCCTTACAACATCCAAACGCTTCTCTGGCCCATCTCTGCCTTCAGGATATGGCCTTTTCGAATATAAACATCTTCTCCCCGCTCTTTGGGCCATTTCAAATTTCAACAAAATGCTGTCAACGCCTTTGCCTGTGGCAGAGACCCCTAAAAAACGAAATAAAACATAAATTTTATAAGCATAATAAAAATTGTTCTTTTTCCATATTGAAAGAAGGTTAAAAAGATTGTTTAACTTGATATTTTTGAGGCAAAATGGTGAATAAATAATAAATCCAAACTATAAATAAAGTTGAAAAGATGTCAGTGAAACCATTTTTGATGGATAAAAACAGGAAAGGAAAGCAGCTGAAGTTTTTCAAAATATTTTGTAAATATTGCCAAATATAACTCCTCATTTTGCCTTATTATTTCATAGTCTCTCTATATAATTTCCCACTTTTTCAACCGGCAATCGTATCTTTAGCTATCTTATCGCGAGCGCCCCACAACATATGCTATATTATTCGGCAACGATAGGAGGCCAGCGAGTGCGGGTAAAACGCGTTTAATTAACCACTTACATGGTTTTAATTTATCTCCATGCAGCACTCGGAAAAAAAAAACGAATTTCCATTAAAAAAAAAACCAAACAGCAACAGCACGAAAGTGCTCTGATAAAGATTTAGCTACAACAAATTGGTGTTATCTTCTGGCTCGGCCTTATCGAGACAGCAGGAGATACTTAGGCCACATGGCAGTGATTTATGCCCAGAAAACTGTCACGATTTTTCCCCCTGGGGTAACCCTCCAACTTTCCCATGGCCCATGGAACTAGTTTTTCGAGTGTGCTGTGGCATTTTGGCATCAAACAAACATTTTCGCTGTTCATTTGTCGAGTCGAGTCGAGTTTTATTTATTCATATTTAATATATATCAATATGAAATGTTCTTGTATATATATATTCTATATATATATATATAGTGTATGTAAATATGTAGATGGTTATGGAGTCGGGGGACTGGGCTTCCTTCTTTCTGGGCCTGCCTCTGTCTGGTTATTAAAACAAAAGAGAGTGGCAAAATTTATAGCCATATTATTTGTTATTTATTTAAGCTATAAATATGCATATGAAATGAATGAATGCTAGCAGCAGGTTTTTTTACCATACCCTAGAGGCTAGCCTACCTCGATCAGGGGTTCTGATGGACTTCTTTTTACAAAGGTATCTATATAATCTATAAAGGGATTAAGCATTATCCATTAACCCATCAGTAAGTCTTTATAAATGTATGCTAAAAATATTAAATCTTAATATAACAGAATTAGATACCAAAGGATAGTCAATTTAAACATTTTTCAGGCCACCTGCAGACTTCCTGGAAAAGTCATAATCTTCTATGAATCACAAAAACCACTAATAACCTATATGGCTTAGCTCCATATAATTACCGTTAACACTACTACTTTTCCGAGGTATTTTTATCTTCGTTTTTATCTCGTTCTTTGGCTATTTGGGGTTTTTCGGTGGGTGACTCCCTGTCCCAGCCATCCCCTTCGCACTGGCTCTGCCCTCTATCTGGCTCTGTGGCTCCGACTGCCACTGGTTTTTCTGTTATGTTATTTATGTGGCCATAAATTTGCAGCTGAAAGCAAAGCTCCGAGAAAATGGTTCGGGGACAAATAGTTGCACAAACACAGCGCCTTTTCAATGTGTGTGTGTGTGTGGATAGTAGCAGTTGCACAGGAAAAAACGTGGGTCTATGTGAACCTAATATACTTTCTATCAAAAGAGTTTAATAGTTAATGTAGTTGCTTTCAGTGTACCTCTAAGCCTTGACGCTTCACTGCCTTTGAGGGCACAATTCACTTGAGTTGAGTTTATTCCAGTCTGGTCTGGTTGAGTTATACGTGCAAATGAGCATCGGCAAAGCGGCTTAAGGACATTGTCCATGGCCGGGACTTGGCAACAGGAGCTTAGGCCACTGCGCTCTGCTGATTTTGAATGGGTAAGGCTGTTCCTGTTCCTGTTCCTCTCCTCTCCTCCTCATCGAATATCCTGCGTGTGTTACATAATTTACCGTTGCTGCAAACATTTCCGCTAAATTTGAGGCGAGCACGCAACTAAAGTCCAGGATATTTCTTTATAATCAGCTGGGTGTCATCATAAGGTCATCACGCAATGCCATTGTTGTTCACATCATTTGTCGGCTTAGTCCTCGGGAATAAAAAGTCGGAAAGTCAACCCCGCGGCGGGGTTCTCTTTTTGAGTCCTTTGCTCCGGAGTTCTGAGTCCTTATCGGACGCCATGCATCGCGCATAATGTGCACGGGACACGTCAGGATTCTAGAATCTACATGACCAGGTTCCTAGCACAGGCTACACTAGAAGATGAATGTTTGTTTTTGTTGAGAATGTTGAAGATCTAGATCTTTATTGTAGGTTAAGTTACCCAGAATATAAGTTTTCCTTAAAGTTTTCTATTTGAAAAGTTCTTCCTAATAAACAACCAATATTTCAATGTTTAAGTAACTTTCACCTTTTTTTTTTCTGTGTAAGGGAAGCAAAGTGAGTGAGGAGCGAAAATAAAGCAGCGAACGTCGACCAGCGCTTGTAAACAAATTAGGAGCGTATCCTGACCGGAAGTCCAGGCGCAACCAAAAAAAGGACAGTCAGAACTGTTAACTTTCCCTTTTTACAGATATCCTTTTCATACTCTTTTGCCTAGAAAGTAAACAAAATTTGTAACCCAGAAATGTAATGTCAAGAATTCTATAAAGAGAATATTATCTTTTCTTTTTTAGAAGAAGTTAGGCTAGATAGGGCATTACCAATATCGGTCATCTACTTTCTTCTTTCCTTTTCTTCCTATTCAGTTTTTTCCTTTGGTCAACATATTTTGTGTGGTCGTCGGAAATTTGTTTGTCCTGGCCGCGCCTGGAAATCAGTTGGCCAACTGCTGCGCCTCTTTAAGTTGCAATTAACTTTTGGGCGGCTTAAAGCTGACCATAGACCGAAACCCTCCCCAAAACTAACTACCCATACCATACCGAGTCTTATGAGGCCGCTGCACGCAACGCTGCCGCGCACACTTTTTCATTTTAATTGCCCCTGACTATGCTAAACTAATCTACACAAAACGCAGCTCCCTTGGGGGGTGACTTCTATAGGGGGGTTCGATACTGTAGTCGGTCATAATTTTGATTGAGAAGGTGAAATTGGTATTTTGTGATATATTGACATTGCCGCTCAACGATGCCGTCCGTCTGCTTAGTCACTTGCAGCAATTAGTGGAGTTGGACAGTGGGAGTGAGTCCAGGGGCATCTACATAGTAATTATGACTTTTTTTTTTATGGATAGTGGATGGATAAATTAGATGGAAGGGTTGATTGACGCACTTTCATTTGTGGCAAGTTCACCCACTCCTCTAACTCAGCCCTTCTGCTACTGTAACTGCCCCATACTGCCATGAATATTTTCCATTCTTTGTGCCCAAGCACTTGGCTTCTGCTAACACCAATTTGTTCATTGCTTTTCCGGCTTTGGCTTCAAATTAAAAATGATGTTTGACGAAAAAAGAGAGGAATTTGGGATTCTGTTAATGAACACAGAGAATACCCTGTAACTGTGTGAGAGTTATCCTCCTTGAATAATTTCTTATAATGAATATATTTTTAGATTGTTTTTTTTTTACTAATTTTGAAAGAAAAAAGTTACATTCTAAAGTCCTTTCATTCTCCAATCTCTTGTACCACCTTAAATAAAGACCTTCTTTGAATATTTCGACATCTAACCATATCCCCTTGAAAGTCGAATAAACTCTAAGCCCGATATTCCAGGATATGTGCTGCATATTGTCCCCATTTGATTGTGCAACTGTTCAGCGCTGTCGCATTTTATTTCAAGTTGAGTGACTTCAATCTGTCGCCGGAGAGTACCAGTCTTGAGGCCTTTTATTATTATTATACTTGTTGTCGTTGTTCGAGTTCTTTCAATTTGGCAAAATACAAAAAATAGAAAAGCAAAAAAAGCGAGGGTCTGGCCAGGGGTTGTGCATATGGCAGCATTAAAAACCCGCACGTACAATGTCCAAAGAAATTAGATGTCGTCGCTTGCCGCTGCTTCTGGCTGCTCCTGCACTGTGTGTGACACACATAATTCCTGGCTAGGTGCAACAACAAGGACAATCGAGACAATGGCCAGCCCGGCACCCCCATGCTTCAGCCAGCAGCAGGACACAAAGGACATTGCGCGATGTCTTAGCGTTGCCGACACTGATGAGTTTTGCCTTTGTTTCGCTCACAAAAACCCCCCCCCCTATGGACCACGCCCACAAATGATTAAGGCACATTATTTTTGTCGTTTTTAATTTGTTGTTTTCTTGTTGTTGTTTTTTCGGGGCTGAGAAGAAGATATTGCCAGGTCTTCGTTTCATTGTCTTCGTCAAAGGCTTCAGACGTAAGAGGGAAAAGGCGATCTATTAAGCTGAGAATTAAATGCTTTTCATCTGAATTAGAAATTAACTAAGTGGGGATTATTAAATATTTCTAAAGTCCTTGTTAATCTACAAATAAATTTATTAATAATTCCTTTCAATAAAATGTCTATCAATCAAGCGAAAACTACATCATTGTTTTTCCAGCTCAATCGAATAAATATTTGTATAATCCTTTAGTGCCGCTAACAAATATCAAAAGCCACTTCCCCACCGCATCTACGGATTAAAATATATTACTTAACTGTTCAATTGCTTTATTTCATTTGTTTTAATTTAATTATAAAGTTTTTGCACAAAACTTGGATGTCTATAAAAAATAAAATAGGCATTTTATTTTTGCCGTTTTTACCATTTTTCTTTGTGAGTTTTTTCTTTGTGATGATAGAATTATCTGCCCGAAAAGCGTTGATTAATTCGATAACTGAGAGTTTGCAGTGAGAGAGTGTGTTAAATTATAGTTAATACCTTGCATTAAACATAAGCTACGATGTATATATGTAATATATATTTATTTATTCTGATATAAAATCTAGGCGAGTTGTGAATGTGTTTTAGCGAATGTGTGAGAGTGAGTGAGATGAAGTGCGTGTTTAGTAAACTAGTTTAAGTTAACATTTATAGGTTATATAAATTATATTAAAAATATTTTGTGTGTTTTCCTTTTTTTGATGTTTGATTATTTTCCATTTTCATTTTGTTTCATCTCCTTGCGAATGTTTCGAGTTTTGCTCTCTTTCAGCTTTTCCTTTTTTCATTTTCTTTGAAAATAATATCACGTTGAGAGTTGAGACTTCATGTCCAAGGGTACAGCTATATCTTTATCCTTAGCACTGATCTTGTGTCTGTGGCTTACTGTTATTGCCGGGGCTGATTTTGTCTTTGGTGCGACTGTGTATCAGTTTAATGACGCTGTTTCTTTGGGCCATCTCCGATTTGCTGTACTCGTCTATGAACTGGAAGGGGCGGATATACATCAAGAAGCCATCATCAGTTAACCAAACTAAACTTACCAGCAAATCGAAATCCTTGCAGAGTAGCTCCCTAGCTGAAGCATTGTTAAAGGAAGCCGTTACCAAAAACGGATAAATCACAGGATTAAACTGGCTGGGCATCTTGGCCAGGTTCTTAAAGATCACCGCAAACTGTTCCGATATCAGCAGATCCTGATGCCTCCGATTATTGACACAGAAAAAGGCCAGCGTGGCGATTAGGTCAATCAGCATTGGTGTGCTCTCGTTGTTCTTCAGCCATTGAGTATTTGCCACGCTCAAGTTCAGGATGAGGGTCATCACATCCAACAGCTTCAGCGACAAAGGACCCTCCACAGTCAGGGCCTCCTGAAAACACCAAAAAAAGAAAAAGAAAATACATTTAATTGGCAACATACAACCAGCCGACAATGGAAAAAATAACCGAAACCAAAATCACTGAGCAAATGTTTTAATTAAGTCAAAGCAAATATCAAAGAGTGGCACTTGTTTAGGGCAGGAAATGAAGGACCGGCACGTCCTGCTGCCCGATTGTTTATATATTCCTGCTATTCCTATACTATATATATTTGCGTGTTATTTGCATAAGGGACTCTCGCTGAACCGAACCGGAGAGCAGTGCTTCTAATTTGTTTGCCCTGGCAGGCCAAAACCCGAAACTCGATTCAACAACTGAAACTGGCAACTTGCTCGAGGAGGCGGCCGCGGGACGAGCCAGAGTTTGAGTACGAGTACTAAGCAAATATTTAGCCAAACAATTGACATGCCTGGCTGGCTAGAACAACGCCTCCTCCTCACTTTTCCTAACCCCTCGGCAGGATATGAGCGAGCGGCAAGGATTTTTCAGCCGGAAAAAAACAATTTATATGAAAAAAAAAAAAAAACGAGAACGATTGAAATTGCGTGGGCCTCGGATTGGCTTGGGTTAAACTTGAAAATTTCATTTTACAAAGTCAATATTTACGCAAAAACAAGAGCGACTCTCGAAAATTGAGTTTGCTGATTAAAACCGAATCAAATTATTTGCCAGAAACGGAGCAACCGCCCCTCGCTGGAAATGTTGTTGTTGTTGTTGATGATGATGATGATGAGCAACCGAAACCCTTATCTATTTTTGTGGTAATTTAAAACAAATAGCTCTAATCCCAGTGCAAGGCTAGGGGTTGGAGCTTTTGGCAGCAGCAAAGTTTGTCTAGCAAATTAGTTTGTCAAGTGCGTAGACTTGGATGCCAGCCTGCCAGCCCTGCCAGCCTGCCAGCCCTGCCATCCAGCCTGCTGCATCTGTTAAATATTGACACGTGCAACAGACGCACACTCGAAAACTCGTATAAGCGGATGGAGGTACACAGGAAATTAAAATCTAGATGCCACACTTTGCCAAAAAAAAACGAACTGAAAATGGTTATTTAACTTTTGGTGACTGCATAATTATGTTGTACTTAAGCTTTGCATTGCAAGCTTATAAATTGGAGTTGGAAAATGGATATTTTAATGTTCAGAACTTGAATTACAAATCATTTTTCCTTTTCAAAGACTGTTTGATCGAAAATCAAAGTAATCTTAAGTAGATATTGATAATATTTATAACCAACCTATTCCTCGAGCATTTGAGGAGATTCAGAGCGAGGTTAGGTGTAGATTTGTCTCCTAGGTGGCGCTTCAGTTAGATCCACGATTGCTGCACTTCGATATTCTGTTTCTATGGCGTGGTTTTTGGCTGCCAACTTAACTCATCTCATCTCCAGTTGGTTCGTTTCGTTACGGTTGGCATAAATATTTTAGGCCACGCCAAGACGACTGCCGACATTTGGTCCCAAGTAAAGTGTCAAAATATTTGCGTATGCCACCCATCCTCTATTTTATCCTCCCACTCCCCTCCTCACTACACCCAACATGCTTTGATGCTTTTCTCCTCTGCATTTTCACAGGTACACGAGTTCAGAGCGAAATGTCATCGCGGTTCAATGGCGTTCGCCTCATGTTGTGTTTGTCATTTGGCGCTGTGTTGTCTGTTAAGCAAATGTCACTCTGCCCTGACTCTATGCATTTTCCACCAAAACGGAAAGCCCACACTCCCACTCCCCCCGCGGAAAATCCCATTCCACAAAGTACACAATTCTCGTGGCTGTCATGACATTTGGCAATATGCAAATCACTCTGTCGAAATTCACTCGCTGATTGCAAGCCGCAGCAATTGCAAAGTTTTAAACGTCTGCACTAACTTTTCCTCATGTTTTCCCTCCCGCTGATGCTGATGCTGATGCTGATGCTTCTGCCTCAGCTGCTGTTGTTATTGTTTTTGCTGTTGCCTCAATTTTCTCAATTTTCGCCAGGCGATTTCACGTTCGACAAAGTTTAGAAGAGCAAAGTAAAGAAAAGCCAAACGCATAGACACACACACTGCCAGCAAAAAACAAGAGCAGCATCAACGGGAAAACATAAAACCGGAGAGTGAAAAAATTCTAATGAAATTTTCTTTGCGTTTCGCTGCTTGAACAGCAGGAAAACTCAAGTCACATTGGAGATGAAATGGTTAAAACATTTTAGTTTAAAAAACTAAAGCAAAACTTTTAATAGCTAAAAAGGATTAAGAATAGAACATGTTTACCACATCACAGAGTCAAGAACAAACATTAAAAGAAATCAAATCTATGTTAGTTTTCCACTGTTTTTCACCACTGTGCCTTCGTATTGGGTTAAGGGCTGGCTGACTTCTTGATTTGTTTAAACGGCAACGCACGACGTTCGACGTTTGCCGTCGTTTGCCTTCGAAACTCCTGAGAAACCCACTCCTCTGTGGAAAGAAAGACAAACTCACCTGGAAAGTGTTCACATCCAGCGAGGCCAGGGACACGTAAAGATGAAAAGTCGATGCCGCCAAGGCGGTCGTGCGCGGTGGAATGCATTCACCTGCAAAAACAAAAAAAATCAAAAAAAAAAAAAAACGAAAGAAAAGCGGATGAACAACGGCTAGCGGATATTCAATCATAAAACATTAGAGCGGTTGACGGGGAAAATCAAAACTAATTTCCGCCTTTGCGAGGAGATCACGTTGCGTGGGTTGTTCGTAAAGTGCATTGAAATCTAATTAGCACCTCCACAACCTCCTTCCTCCCCCTCAACAATTTTCAGCTACCGTTTTGGTTCAGTTAAAACTCACCTATTGGCATCACACTGCCGTAGAGCATCGATACGGTTCCAAACAGCTCCGTGGTCTTGGCAGCGCTCAGCAAACGTGTCGGATCGGCAGGACCTGTTCGTGGAGGATAAGAGGAAGGAATAAACAACGATCCCCTTGGGTTATTTACCCTCAACCAGGTGTGACTTTCTGCTGCCAAACAGAAGTTGCCGCCTGAAATGACTCACCCGGCTGGCAAACATCAATGAATCTGGACAGGAAGCCCATGGTGGTCAGCAGACCCAGCATCATGCTCTTGTTACCCTCAATGGACTCACGCACCTTCTGAATGCGCCGGGAAAGAAGCTCAATCAGGCCCGTGATCACAGCGAGGCTAAAAAGAAAAGAAATTAGGTTATTAAATCAGGAATATATTTTATAGTTTAACTGTAATCCCCTTGGAAAAACAAGAATTAACTGAAGGATCTCTGTCTGAATGCCTTTCGGGGACTCATTACTATTCAACCTCAATCATTCAGCCATTTTCTTATTGTTTGCCCGGTGGTTTCCCATGTCCATATGCTGCTAGTTCTATTGGTCTTTCCCCTTGGCACCTTTTCTACCCTTTCAACTTGACTACCTTTTGGTTGAACGACATTCCACACTTGTTAATCGCCCGAAGCGTTCAAAGGCACGAGTTGAAATCATGTTGGCCCGAGAATAGAACCCAACGACCATGTGTCATATCATTTGAAAGCGATTTAAATTCATACACTCCCCAATGGCAAACAACAAGTTATCCCTGCCCGTCGTCGTCCGGAGAATCTCCTCTTCATCCCGAGTAATCATCCCGAGCAAATGCCATTTCATTTGCTCTCGTGGCAAGGTGTTTCCATTCACATATCGAGGGGAGTTGGCACGGGGAATCAGGGACTAGTGTCCTGTTTAACCTCTGAATGAACATTAACATGTCCTTGCTCTGGCTGTTCTGATGCTGTTGCCTGTTGTCATTGTCAGCGCAAATCTGTTTTGATTTTAATCCAGCTTATGTGAGCCCGAAATGCCGAAATGCATGCCCATGGTCCTGCAGAGCCTCGGTAACCGCCTGCTCCCGTGTACCACCTCCCTCCCTGTATTGTTGTTCAGCGAACTGTGCTGCTTATTCCTGCTACACTAAGAATATTTTGGGTATGGGAAAGGGAAGTCTAATCTTGAAACATAAGATATATTATTATATATTCGTGTACATTTTGGTATTTTCAACTTGTCTTTTTAAAGAACAAACTTTACTTTAAGATTAAATTTTAATACTCCATGAAAATTATTTTGAGTGTCCCTAAATCCGCTGCCGCCTCTGTTTTATGCTGCCGATTATGCGACTTAAGTGCCGAAATCAATGCACACAAATGCCCAAATTACAAGCACCCGTGAAAAGGACATTTTCCTGTTCCACAGAAGAAAGGGAACTTTTTTATTCCTTCCTCTCCTCCTAAAAAGGACATTTTAAAACCCGACAAGGCGTTGCGATTTTTTCTTGGCAATTGCAACTATTTTGTTTATTAAACAAGAGAGACAGAGCTTGAGTTAAGTAGCGTGTGCATTTGACACTTGTTAAAATATTTGCGCCTGTCCCACACACACACTCACACACTCAAGGGAGGTCCTTGATGATTAAACCGATGGGAAGAGGGGGGGGTGCGCAGAAGAGGGGATGAGGGGGTGTGCCTGCAACTGTCGCGCGTATTTAGCGAACGTGTTTTCACAACTAACAAGGATGTTAATTTTTTTTTCCTGCTGGGGATTCTTATTTTTATTTCGAGCTTTGCACCAAATGCCTTTTCACACCCGAAAAAGTCCTGTCTGGGTGTCCTGCCAGTGGTTTACCCTCCCCTTACCTCCCTCCCTACCCCCACACTCTCGAGTGCCATTCTCCACGCCCTGTGTTGTCGCATTTTATTTTTATTTTGTCGCCATCGCTGGCTGCTGCTTTTGGCTGCTGTTTATTTTACGGCACTGACGATTATGTCCTGTCCGGGCGACCGGGGCTCCGGGGTCCTTTTGGTCCTGGGAAAGGAAACCTCGGCCACATCCGATACGTCTCTTACCCACCCGGCAGTTGGCCATTTTGTGTTTGGATTGATGCGACCAACGAACTAAATACTTTCCACAGGCGAAACTCAGGGCCAGGACACATGACAAACGATGACAGTTCACTGGCGGTGGGGCGGAAGAGGAAAATGGGGGGGGGGGTGGTAGCCCACAGACTCGGGGTAAAAGCATCCTTTATGCTCCGTGCTAGCTTTGTGCTTGTTGGTTTAAGAAAATTATTAAGGATATTTTTGTGGTGCTGATGAGTTTGCCGAGTACTTTTTGTCCAGCAAGCGCACGAAGTGAAAGCGAAGTGTGGTTGAGGGGTTAGGGGGATCAGATTTTGACCAACCAGGAGAGCAAACATCATGTGGGTTGTCCCTGCGTCCGGGCATCCTCGTGTCCCTGTGTCCGCCTGTCTGCGCTAAGTGTCCTGTGTGCGATGCGAGGCACAAATAGCAAAACAGGAAGCTCAAGTATGTTTACAGTTGACAACGCCAGAAACGCTGTGGGGATATCAGCATGGGATCAGCAGGGATGTGCTTTTAGCTTTATTTTTGGGTCTCGTTTTGGATTTTTTATGGAACGGAAACTTTACATTTTCCGGTAACTATTAGAAGTAAAATTAAATTACTCTTTAAAAAATACAATAAAATCATGAGGCATTTCACATCTTGGCTGAAATACCCTCAAGAGATTTTTTGAGTTAGAAGTAGATTTTATTATAAAATTGTTAAGGATTTTGTTATGTCAAAGATAAAATTTCGAAGATCTTCAATCTACTTTTCAGATAATTTAAGTTCAAGTAACCTGGTCGAAGTATCTTAAGCCAGCAGCACAGCTTCAGGCATAGAAGAGCGGGACTTTGGGACTCATCCTGGCAACGGCACGTAGTCCTTGCTGCTTTGTTTGTCTCTTCACTGGGTGGGTGTTTGTGTGTGTTTGGTTGCTTCAATGAGTGTGGGTGTGTGTGTGTGTTAGCGTTTGAGTAATGGACGCTTTTATTTGCGAACAGGACTTCTGGCTGTGTCAAAAGGGGTCAAAATGGATTTTTTGGCTATATAAAAATTGCTGCTGGCCGTGTTTGCTTTTCAATGCTGCTGTTGCTGCTATCGTGGTCAACGAGATTCTCTCTTAATTCAACGCCAGGACACTGTCATGGCATATCAATCACTCATATATATAATATATATATATGCTATATAGAATGTTATAGATCTGTGTATGTTTATGGCTTGCCACTTAAATAGCAGAAATCTGTATGCCATTCATTTGTATTGCAAACATCGAGCGATGAATGAACTCTCCTGCTTTTGTTGATGACTCGCTTTCGTTTATTATGATAAATCACACAGAAAATAATGAACAATGTTGGGGGGAAGGGGGTTTGTTTGATATTTTTAGTGTTTGTAATCATCATTCGCTTAATTGAAATCAAAACATCAAGCCAACTCAAATTTATTTGCCCAACAATTTCTCTTTCAGTTTGTGTTTCCCAAAAAAAAGGAATATTTATATATAGAAAAACAGAAACAAAAAAAGCTGAGAAGGACTTGCACTTGAATCTGCAAAAGCTGCTAAATGGATGCAATGTCACAGTTCTCTCTCAAACACACTCCTCACCACCCACCCCCCACACAGCTTTCTCGTATTTGCTTACAAACATTTAGCAGCATTTTATGGACGAACGTTTCTGAATCTTTTGCTAATCGGTTTTTGCATTTTGAGCACATTTAATGCTAGACGCGTGCTGCTCATTAGCATATGAAAGAATTATATTGCCATTGTCCGGTTGGGCTTTAAACACAAATTTCCACTGCACGTGGCACACGGACAAGCGATTTGAAAACTGTTTATGGATTTATGTGGCTAAAAGTTGTGCCATTATTTTGCCAACATTTTATTGAAATCTTTGTTTTGCCAGCTTAAAAAGTTGACAAACAAATTAAGCAAATTAAATTTAAATCAAAGGTGTTATCTTAATGCCCGAACATAATTTCATTTGACTAATTAAGTCAATTATGTCGCTCACTAAATGATTTCCATTAAGAGTTTTATTTAGTATTTCACATTTCGATTTCTTTTACTACTTTTATTTTGCTTTCACTTATTTATTTAAGCAAAAATAAAATAATAAACAGAAAGAACAACGTATGCTTTTAATTTAACCAAAAATGCTTTGCCCATTTTTAACCCCAGAACACTTTTGTGTTTTTCTCAAACAAATCTGCTTAGCAGCTTTCGCAGTAATTCAATTTCAACACGAATCATTGAAATTCATCAGATTCAAATTCATTCAATCAACTAAAGTCAACAACGGAGGCTGGAAAAATGCCAGCTGGCACATATATAGAAAGCAATCCCGAATCCGATGCAGATTTAGATTCAGGTCAGAGGCATAGAACTCAACGCCTTGCGGTGGGCCTAAAACAACATTAGTTGGCAGGCAAAACAAGCGACACACACACAGGCAAGATTCGAAAAGGTGTTAAATGAAAACTAAACTGGAAAAAAAAAAAAGAAAAGCAAAGGGAAAGGTGGTATCCTGGCTAGCTACCCCTTAATTTTCCGCACTGAGCACGAGCCGGAGGAGTTGATTAAAATGCAATTTCAAATTGTTTTCTCCGCTGGTTGTCAGCACTTGATTAAGAGCAACTGTTTCTTTTCGGAGGGTTAAAACTGTCGCGCCTGCGCCTTGCCATTCTGCAATCCCCTTTCTGACGGGCTACCCTATTCGGGTGTCATGTCAAAACAATGCAACTCGATTCCCAGTTTTAGGGGTAGCAAGCGGCGGCAGTCAAACAGCCGGCAGCGAAAGTCGAGAGCTCTGATTGCCCACAAGTGGCTGAGAGGAGAACAGAAGCAACCCTCGGGAGAAGTTTCAATGGAATGATGGCATGAAGGTAGGGAAAAGTATAAAATGACTGAGAAGAATCTAAACAGATTTATAAGCAAGTAACACTAACTAACCAGCTAGAATCAAATATTAAACTGAAAGCTAAAGCATCTAGAAACTCTCAATTCGAAAGAAGTTAACACTCAACTTTAATCACGAAACCTATATTTTTGGCTTCTGGTAGTTGGCTATCCATTGATGATGCTAAAATTACACAGCACCTGGTACCGAGGTTTTTCGGCAGACAACTTTCTTGGCCATGTTTATGCATTAGAGAGCGCGTGTTAAATAATTTCATGGTGCAAGTTGGTCGACTCCTTTATGGCCATAAAGGGAGTCAATGGCCAAGGGAGGCGAGAGGGGGATTGTTGTTGTTGTAATGCAAAGGGAGGGTGAACTTTTAATGGGCC